ACCAAGGATACACCGGGAGACAATCCCCTACTCTTTTCCAGTGCACTGCGTTCTTTAACGTGCACATGGGCCATTAATGCACAAAGGACCAACGTTTTAAACGTCTCATCCAAAAGGCGGTGCGCTATTTCAACTTGTATTTCAGCCCTCCAACTGAAACACAAGTAAAGGCAGCGGTGGGAATTGAACCGGGGACCTAGAGATCTCCACGGTTCAGCGCAGACACAATGGCTACCACCAGATTATATATTTACTGTAACTGTATTTTGTCTACCAGACACTGATATTGTTTCATATGGCAGTAATTACTTGGTCCCGAAAACAAACAGCCAAAGCCACACGGGGAAGGCGTACTACATCAAATTGAACGATCCGATAAAGGTTGACGGTCGACTAATGGGGTTTGAGATATACAACAAAGTCAAGGGAAGAATTGTATTGAAGGTAAATATGTGAAAGAAAATGTATAAGGAGCATGTAAATTCATTCATTAGAATAACGCTGTGGCTAGATTTTCGGTATCGATCGGGTCTGATAAGCTGGTAGCGCAGTCATGTTGAACCGGTATCACATCCGTTGTTTTCTGGTTGTGTACAGCAGTAGGCCTACACTGTCGTATTTTGCGTATCATGGCCTTATTCGCAGTGGCTAGGATACTTTTGGTCATATCAACAATCAATTTCAAAAAAGAAATAAGAGAAGATTTTACACTAGAACGATTTGATAACAATTTATCAGTTATGCGACAACAATATATTTTGACAAATCAAATCAGATGACGTTATAATCATGGAAAAACATTAAAATCGTTGTAGTAGCAACGATTTTGTCGTTTTTCCATGATTATGACGTCATCTGATTTGATTTGTTAAAATAGTTTGTTATCGTATACACGATAAATCATTATCGAATCGTTCTAGTGCTTAAGGCTGTTTCCTGACGGTGAATCGCGTCGGGCTGTGTCGTACGACGCTGTCAGAGGTAGCATTTAGAATCAGTGTTGAGTGATATTTCCGAGCAAGTTATTATTTTTATGGTAAAATAAATCTGTTTTAAAGCCAAATATAATTATTCTTGACGTGACTCTCTCCGACGTAGACCATCGTGTGTGTGCTTTTTACTCACACAGATCCGAGGCAATGCCGTAGCCAGCTATTAGGATAGTTGAGACAGTCCCACACAATTTTTCTAATGGGTCCACAAAGATGGGTCCAAATTATGTAATTTTATGCATAAAATTGGTCCAGATTTTTCATATTTCTGCGTAAAATGGGTCCACATTGTTTGAATTTACACGTAAAGTGGGTCCACCCTGATATTGTTCCACACTGTTTGAAAATCCTGGCTACGGTATTGATCCGACTCGTCAACAAATCGCGTCGGACTGCGTCGTACGACGCGCTCTCAGTTAGCATTTACACGCCCGTGCTCTAAATTGGTCCTCTCTTGCCTTCCATACATAAAGCGCATGTGTCTATAAAAGTATAGTACACAGGTGGGCAAAGAAAGTGCGGCCCGCCAGCGATTTTTTTTGCGGCCCGCGAAAATGAATTAAAAACTCTATGTGTGCAGCCCGCCAAGCAACATTGGCTAGAAAACACATTGTTTTTATGGCCCGACACCGATCATATAATTATGTAAACAGTAAAATAAAACTTAGAATAAACTGGTGTAAAAGCAGTTCTTGGAGGTTTTTGGAAACAACAAAGGTTGGGTGCCGCCCTCGGTGTTTAATCAAAAATTCACTTTGCCCCTCCGACCCATTTTTATGCCCACCCCTGGTATAGTAGTTGCTAAATACTACCACTACTTCAGCAGCGGGAGGTGTGTGGCTTGTATGGTGACGTCATGCATAATTTCAGCTGTATTTCCAAATTCTTGCTCTGCCACTGAGTGGGCCCTATTATTATCTCAAAAACTGCAGACATTATGTGTCATTTGGCGTCTTTATACTGCCCGCATTTTATATTTTTAGGTCTCCCATTAATGACAATCCGTTGATATAATTTTTTCACTCTGATGCACAGGCCAATGGAGGCAAATAAATTTCTGATAACAAGTTTGAAAAACATTTATTTTTTTTATTCCTTTATATATATGTGCTTACAAATTGTCATCATAACTTATCTAAACTACATATTTTTTTAAAGCTTTATAGACCTATTGATTCATACGGCTACAGATTTTGTTTCTCTTCGTATTCGTACATCCCTGTTGAAGATTCATGTGAAAAACAGCGAAGTGTATGGAAAAAGATTTGCTCTGGATCGTATAGCTTTCGAAAACGTCAATGCATTAATTCTACAACCAGTGATGTCTTCTTCACATCGCCACCAAAAATTAACCTTAAGTTGGTAAAACAATTCCCATTTGACAATGTTTTGGAAGGACCACAGTATTTAAAAGTCATAGAGGAAATAAGTGTTCAAAAAGGCGATCTCATTTGTTATAAATATATAACAGGTAACGGAGTAATAGAAGAAGAAATGACATCAAAATTCACGGAATACATGACGAATGACGCAAACTTAAAATTTATCGATGCAAGCAACCTTGTACCAAGCAATAAACCCAATCACGTATTTAGGGCTATTGTCAACAGGCGATCACGGGCTCTTATATCACACGTATGCGATGTGGATATAAATGATTATGACTCCCTGTGCTCGTTTAATGTATTGATTGGAGGGATGAATAAAAATGTCTCTATTATCCGAGTCATCGACCCTCCGATTCATGACGTACATATATCCAGTATTAAAAACGGTAACTGCGTTTGCTTATTTTATTGCTTAATTTGAGTACATAATGTCCTGAAGGCTAAAGGTGTGAGAAAACCTCAATAACTACTGTAGGTTGATGGCGTTTTTGCCACTCTTTTATTTAAAGGTTTTAATCCATTACACCCTAATATTAGAGAGCATCTTATCAGCTAATACAGCTAATTAACAATTGAGGATACGAGCTTGGAATGGAGCAGCGATAAGGTGAACGTGCTTGACTGCCTTCAAATCTCTGAGTCATGGGTTCACTTCCTGTCAAACTCCACTCTCTAGAGCCCAAGGCTATGGAATTGTATAGACATGCCTAAATATGGTCATGATGACATCACATCGTGGCCATGTATAGGCACATCTTGACTATATATGGGCATACAACAGTTTTTTGTTTAAGAAAATTTGATAATCTTAAGAAAACATAAGCCTCAATTACAGACTTACAGTTGTTTTTATAATACACCATTCCATTTGTAATTGATGGGAGGACTTAATGTTGGATTTGTAAAGAACCTCGTATTGTATTGTAAGAGAATAACAAAAACCTCTATTGTTAATTTAAAGGTATTGCTACAAACACTTACATTATTTTCTAATGTTGTGGGAAATAAAAATGTTATTATATGTTGATTGGTCAAATCTTGGCTGAGTTCAAAATCACCGATGCGTGACTGTCGTAGATCAGTGGCGTACGCTAATCTGGGGTCTGTTGCTGGATTACCGTACGCCAGTGATTGCGCGATAATACTGGCGTTCGCTACGCCGCGCACAAGTTCACACCATTCGATTAACGTTACGCTAGCGTAAGTCGTTGTGTCTGAACATAGCCTAAGACTGTCCCCGACGATAAATCGGGTCGGGCTGCGTCGGCCGACGCTGTCTGAGTTGGCCTTAATTTGATGAATGCCACAGCTCGTTCCGAGAGACAAATGCGAAACGATAACCACATTAAAGTAGCTCCAGAAAAAATCCCCAGATAAACAAGAAGTTAGTAAAAACCCCGAAAACAAATACACATAAAAAATAAAAACTACATACATATTTGACCTATATCACATACAAATAATTATATTGCAGGCATAAATGCCCTTATACATATAGTAGGACTGCATCTAATTATGTTATGCAAAAATCTTTAACAGAATCGTCTCAATGATGCTTTGAAAACTCCCGCTTTTAATAATGTATATTTTTACTAAGGCTCTGACGTGACAACAACTGTAACGATTGGACAGACTGAGTCAGTTAACTTAACACTTCCGCCAAGTTCAATTGTACATAATGAATCACTTACGGTTGATGGGTTGGTGTTGACAAATGTTATTGGATTAAATGAAGGTAAGAAACAAGAATTTCTTCATTCACCCTATAATACTTATTGTGTCTGCATAGCACTGAAATAGGCATATAAATCAGATATTTATTTGGAAGCTGCTTACTGAGTGTCCAGTCATGCGATACACGCTGAAGTTTATGGCTGTTCTTAGTTCTTCCAAATTGAAATGAAATTATTTATTTTATATATTTAGTTTATATTGTGTACAAATTAAATTAAACAGGATATCAAATTATAGAGTTAATTTTTCTTCTTAAAAAATGTAAACCTTATTAGGTCGCTGCCGGAGTAAATTGGGTCTAGAATTTCAAAGCAAGTTTTCAGACACACAATTCGAAACTTCTACAACAGAGCGAAATTCGTTTCCTTATTTTGGTCGACTGAACAATGTAGATGGCGGCTGGATTCCAGCAAATACTGAGAATCAGTGGATACAGGTATAGGCACATTATTGTTCTGCGTCGTTTCTACCTGCTCTACCAAAGAGTACAGAACTACACGAAGTCCGACTCTCGGGGTTTCGTTGGAACGCAATCCTATCCCAAAAAGTACTATCACGAACTAGAAGGCGTCCTCCAAAGGAAGGTAAAAGGCGTCCGTAAATAGGGCGCCCTCTATCTTGCGTGCATACAAAATCAGGGCAGTCGGACCTCTTGCAATTCTATCATCTTTGCTTTCACGTATTTCAAAAACTTTCTTGTCCCTCCTGTCGTAATGCATAATCCATTTCTTCTTCCTTTGTTTGATTATCAGTTGTCTATTTCGTGAATACTTACCTGGATAACCGACTAATTGCCATTGTTCCCAAAACGGAACTCCCCTTCGAAAAATGGAACAGTCCGACCCAAGGCGCCACGTGCGAACCGTCTCCCTAACAAACGTCCTCATTCATTTTCGACGTAGTGTTCGAATTAATCTTTGTTTTCACGTATTTAAAAAACTTTCTTGTCCCTCCTGTCGTAATGCATAATCCATTTCTTCTTCCTTTGTTTGATTATCAGTTATTTGTATGTGTGATTAATTTTAAGATTCTAAGGTTCCCCTGTTATTTATTCGGTCCAATTTCTCCAACTGAATGCATACCTCTACCTAACAGTAAAAGTGATTCGAGTGGTTCTCGAATGTTGATCTCTTTTCATAATAACCATCTTTAGCAAAAGCTACTTGAAATGTTCTACTACTTGCGCGCTCTTTGTGTTTACATCTGCGGGATTAAGAAGACATAGATGAATATTTTGATAGATTCGACTATATGCTGTTTATCACTACTCGTTGAAGATGGAACTCTGTGTATTGTTTGATATATAGATAAATCTGATGAACATATACGTCATAACTGGTATTGTGACGCAAGGATGCGGTTGTGAAACAGCCAGTTGGGTTGAACACTTTTTTGTGACGTACGGCCTTAGTGGCGATAATTGGATCATTGGTGATATGGAGGAAGGCGCCGAAAAGGTAAGGTGTAGTATTTTGCATTAAAGCACTGTGAGACCGTACTATCTACACCTGAACATGTGACATGTCTATTATGGTCGTGATGACAGCATACAACAGTTTTTTTGTCAAAGAAAATTTGATAATCTGGACTGAGCTTAGATAAGATTACAAGATTATGACCAAGATAAATTAACAGGGCTCGATTTAGTACTAGCCCGGCGTACAATGTCTATTAAAAACCGCTCCGGGCTAGTCTATTTACTCCTCATGTTGCCCGGTTGTCTAGTGGAGAATTAGCAAGAAAAACATTAAAAAAAAAAAAAATAAAAAAAAACACGGAACGTTCGAGACAATCCCTGCACAAGAGGTACCGCAGCCCAGAGAGAACACTCTAGCTAGCGTTCAGCTCTCCACATGCGAGAACGTTGAATTATTAAGATGATCCCCAAGTCATTCACCAACCACTACAGGATGGCATGTTATCTCTCTATCAACAGAAGATCGTTTGATCGTTGAATCGGGTTAATTTAGGTACATTAAATTTAATGTACTACCTTGTATTCATATTATTTTCTCATAATGATATTTATAAAATGTTCAACTTTTAATAATTAAGTAATTCAATGCTATAAGAAGTTAGAGATTTTTTTAATTTATTACACTAATTTGAGGGGGTACGCGTACTCAAACAGCAAAGCTACAGAAATTATGAAATTGCAAATCAACCTTCAAATTTAATTGTCGCTAATGAATATTTTGAAACAAAATGTTTTCCTGCTTGTGGGCTAGTAAGATAGTCTGTGGGCTAGTAAAATCTCTAGTAAACTAGCCCAGTGGGCTAGTTAACAAAAAAAGTTAGGGCAAGCCCTGATTAAACAAAAACTAAATATATTTATTTTTTCTGGCGAAATTTGTGCATTACTCATCAGTGAATTAAGTCAACACTGGCAGGTTTCTGCTGTTGGCCTCACCTCACACCAAGTATCACGAGAATATTGATGTTTACCTATTCGGTTCAATATAAGGAATACCTAATATTGCAATAAATAAAAAAGTCAATGGCTAAAAATAACTTTTAATTAAAATGTGACACACTTGAAAAATTTTGGAGCAGATTTATTGTAGTTTCTGTTTTATTTCATTACAATATACGCGTTACAACCAGCGTACAGTTCTCGAGAGGGTGGGGGCTGTCTCTTATACACATCTTCGTAATGCATAATCCATTTCTTCTTCCTTTGTTTGATTATCAGTTGTCTATTTCGTTTAACTCAAAGAAAAGGCGCTATATAAATATCTCTATAACATATAACCACCATTATTGTCAACCAAAATTCTTCTTATAATTATTATATTATTATTATTATCTATTAATATTAATATTCTCAATGTTTTTGTTTCTTGAAATTTTTAATAACATTAACACAATTTGTATATTACTAATATCACAGTACATAATTTTGTTGTATGATTTTCGGTTCAAAATAACGTATTGAAAGAATGAACAAATTTTATCGGTAGCACTTTATAGGCAATTTTGATGCAAACACGGCCGTGACGAATATCTTCAGCGAACCAATTTATGCCAAGTTCTTTAGAGTTAACATCGTTTCACAGACCAGGCCTGTAGCATTGCGGTTTGATCTCATTGGCTGTAAAGGTAGGACAATTGTAGTAATTAGGGCAGAGGCGGATAGTTGACCCTTTGAGACCTAGCGTTGTTTTGCCACCACACCCTATTATATTGTAAATTCAACATCTTTTCTATAATTTCTATAATTTTATGTAAAGCGCATAGAGGCACTGTGCATTATGCGCTATATAAATGTAACTTGTTATTATTATTATTTATTAATGCAAACTTTCAAGAAATAATAAGTTACTGTGTCCCAGCTAAAATGTCATGCAGCTTGCACAGTACGCGTGCGTTGTAAGTACGTCATCAAACAGTTAATCACATGATTGAAGTTCTGGATGAAAAAATATTCAATCATTCATTTCACTATCTTTAGTAGGGGACCATTTGAAATTTTAAAAAGTTGTAAAAATGTAGATTAAAATCATTTCTAAATATTTTAGCACATAGTTTATGTCTTGACGATATGGGATTAAAAAGTGGAGAAATTATGAATAACCAGATCAGTTCAAATGGAGTTAACTTCAACGCCGATTCAGTTCGCATCGGATATGATGGTACAGCTTGGTGCCTGTCTTCAAGTGACGTTAATCCTACGGTTACGTTTATTTTTCAACAATTGAAGTTGTTCACCGGCATTATTTTTAAATTGGAAGCCAATGTGGACGTTTCGTTAGCGTTGAAATTTGCACACAGTGACGACAATTTAGTTTGGAAGTATGTTTATATCAAAGGGAACCTGGATAAGGTAGGTTGGTGTTTTCTGTATATTTTCAACCATATGTTCTAGTGTTATATTGGAGAAGTACTAGGATGAGAAGATAAATAGTATGTCTATGGGGTTGAGGTATCGTTAAAGAATACAGATATATAATGTTATCAGTTTAATTATAATGGAAATTGGAGCAAAAGGAAGAGGCAAAAGAGTATTGTTTAACTAAGAAATAAGATGTCCGGTTTAGGTTTTACGTCTGCAGAAATACAATTACAATACAACTTTTTGAAAGACAAGTTATTCGTAAGTCACCGTTCTTTGCTACTCAGGTCTGATCTTTGGGGTACAAATTTTATATTGAAAATATACATATCGAACATTGTAAATTTAGTTTTTATTACGATAATTATTTATGTAAATTTAATTTTCATAGAAATGCCGAGCATTTAGGTTAATATTTCAATTAATAGGTGACACAAATTGTTCCAGCAAACGATGATTCGGAAAAGTGGGTTGTTTTCAGTAAAGTTGTCCAGACCAGAATTATTCGTGTAGAAATCCCTACAACTAATGAAATGATATGTCTGCGTTTTGAACTCCTGGGTTGTAAAGGTATGATATGATATTTCTTATAAAATGTCGTGATGCCTATGCGCATTGCAAATGTCACATAATTAGTAATTGACAATTTTAATTTTCGTTTTATATGTTTGGGGTCGGTAAGAGAAACACTTTTTGATATGAGGAAAATGTTTTTGATATGTATTACAACTGATTTTTCTAAGGGCCTGTTTTTGCTCACGTGTTTTTAAATAGTTATTATAAAACACATGTTTTTTCCCCAGTAGAAAAGGGCCACAAAACAAAAACACGGTTAGGAATGCGTTCTAAAAATGCGTGTTTTTACACGCATTCAATGTAGGGTTCCCGTTCAGAAAATATGTCTCTGGCGGGGAGACTTTTTAAACATAAGTAAGATGCATTCGAACGTCGGCATGACACACCCTAATAATGAAGCAGCTTACTGTTCTGGGAGTTTGGCAAATGAAAGTCAATATTTTTTCCTGTAGATTCAAGCTTGTGTCGTCATTCAGTTGGTGTTGTAGAAGACAGAATACCGTCTGCTCAATTTACATATTCTGACGCGGATACGTTTGTGATGGTGGACTTGCTCAAGCACTATACAGTTACAGGCGTTGTGGTCATTTCTATGGGTCAATTTTATGTGGAATACTCTATAGACTACGGTCATTTTAAAACCATTCTTGATTCAAATGGGCAAAATGAGGTTTGTTTCGTTTTGTTAAGATGTGTAACAACTTTGTCTTAGTATTTCATAAATGTTCTGGTAAATGTTACATAACATATATTGTTACTATATTTGTAATTTATCATTATTTGTAAGAACTTATCTCATCAATGTGTAAAGCCGAGCAACATACTCGGTCGAAGCGATTCATAACTACCCGAAGGAGTACGCACTCCAGATCGTTTTTAATGAGGATTCCCTCAGTCTGCCACCAACAATTAACAAATGACGTCAGGTTACCAAGTACTGACAGAGAACGGAGATGGGTTATTTTGTACGATCACTTTTTTTGGGTATATTATTGACAAATATATTTCACTTAATCCCTAGTTTATAAATTATAGAGGAGGTACAAATAATGTACTCTGCATTTTTTTCTATCTCTAGGTCTTTGATGGAAGAAACATTACAATAGGAAATGTTGTCAATAGCTTTGGCTACCCTGTTGTTTGCCGATTTTTGCGACTAGTTCATAAAGAAGTCCCTGAAACTTCCTTTAACCTTACCTTTTATCCACTTGGTTGTGAAGGTATGTTGATTTTGTTTGAATGCTAGGCCTGAATAGTCATAAATACATTACAGGCAAAGAGATGTCATGCCTCTATAACTCCCTTACAAACTTGACAGTACTATTCAATTAACATGAGCAGAATAAAGGATGTGCGGTGAATTGTACAGTTTCCTGCATAAACATATCCAATTCAATTACAACATCTTTGCCATATGTCTGTACACAGGACACGTAAACATAAATAAAATGTACAAAAATAAATTTTTAAAATAATCCAGCTAAACAAAAATTGTGTCATTTTTACAAACTTTAAAGATATACCAGCTTCATTCTATACTTGATTCATGCCAGGTTACTGATTAATATCTATACCGCCATTGTGGTACCCTGACCTCAGGCCAGTCTAGGTATAACCATGGAGGTATTATTGAGAAGGAGATCACTCGGCAAATCTACGCGCACGCAGCGCTATGCAAATGAACCAAGACCAAAGTTGCCGCAGCGCGTAAAGAACGTTTGCGCGATGCCTTTGAAGTCGATATTTAATGGGTTAAAATCAAACGTTTTATTGCACAACTGCTCTGCTGGAAGCGTATAAATGCATGTCGTTGCCAGGTTGTTGCTAACAAAAAAATGTGAATTATAGGGCAATACGCCCGCGCGCGATCCAAAAGCGGGGAACACATAGGCTTGTCGCGTCAAAGGGATTTGTTGCCGAGTGATCTCCTTCTCAATAATACCTCCATGGTATAACCAAAGAGTATAGAATTGCAAGAGGCCTGACTGCCCTGATTTTGAAAGCACACAATGAAACGTTAAGAAAAGTTCTACCACAAGATAGGGCGCGCCCTCTTAGAATTCGAATCAGAGCCGTAGATAGAGAGAGTTTGGCCAACTTGGCGCATGGCGCCATGTTGTTACCAAACAGCGTGCGCGCGTATTAGCTTTTTAACACTGATGCTGCATAAACTTTCTTTTATTATTCTGTTCATGAGGACAATTCAATTATGGGATTTTAATATATCCTATCGCGTTAGTTTGTGGCTTGCCAATGTTTTGTTTTGGTGACAACATGGCCGGTGATTGCGATTCACCCAATCACACGAGGGTATAGCAGAATCCCGTGAAACCGAGTTGGCCAAACTCTATTTACGGCTCTGATTCGAATGGCGTTCAAAACTCGCCTTTTGAAGGACGCACACTTTTAGTTCATAAGTAGTACTTTTTGAAATAGGATTACATTCCAACGAAACTCCGAGAGTCGGACCTCTTGCACCTCTATACTCCTTAATTTTACCATTCAGTCAGCAGTACACTCAAATTTATAACAATCTTTAATATTCAAAATGATATGGGAGATATTTAGAAACCTACATTATTAGGAATATTGTCAATAAAAGGATTCCTAATCTAAGAAGCTCAATCGAGTTTGTTGTTTTGTGACCATGCAAGTTATTTTAATAATTAGAATAATTAAAAGTGTAGTAGGATATTGAAAGTTTCAACAATATCATTAAAAAATAGGGAAAATCCATAGATCTAGATTGCGGCATTATATGATTATTTATGTTGTTTTACAGAGCCAATGGCGTGCCAGGACTTCATCAAAAGTGACCCCTCAAAGACAATCTATTCGAGCATTCGAAGCATGTCAAACCAAGATGTTAGACTTTTTGGCTCTGGTTGGCTCTCCCGAGAAGACGACGATGAACCATGGGTAATTGTGGTTTTGCAAGGAAGACACCACATATCAGGAATAGTAACAAACTGTTTTAGTCCTAACGGCTACCATACTCAAACTTTGTATGTTGCTTATGGTATGGATGCTAATACATGGAAGAATATAAGCCTTGCGAATGGCAGAAGGAAGGTAAGTATTAATGTTCATTTAAAAATGTACGACCTAGCCCGGTGTTTATTCGTCAGGACAGTCTTAGGTTGTCATGAGAATATTGAGCATGCTTTTTATTCTACGATGTCCCCGATATAGTCACGACGATTACCTACAGTACTTGCGTATGGCTTTAACAAAGACCAGACACAGCAGCAACTTACGTCGGGTTACGCCGTACGATACTGTCTAATAAAGTTGGCCTTTACGAACTCCTGATGGTGACTTTTCTTTACGCGTCTTTTTGCACAATGTACGATACTACTCTGTCAAGCCAACTCAACGCCCAATTGCACCCTACAAACGCATCCATACACTGACTTAACGTTAACACTGACGTTTTATTACAAGGAACGCTCTACGTTTAATTCTTATTAATATCAATATACTATATAACAAATAAACTGATTTATTAATCGTAATATGTACTCTTTTCCAGGTATTCAAATGTAACAACACAGAAGACCAAAATGATTTAAAGTACAACATGTTTGACGAGATTTTCACAGCACAGTATATAAAATTTGATATTATTTCCAATGGGCACGCAGTGTTTCTTAAAATTGGGATACTTGGTTGCAAAGGTATGTTTAATTCCTAATGCTGCTACTGTTGCTGCTACTGCTGCTGCTACAACAACAACAACTATTACCGGTACTACTACTATCACTACTACTATCACTACTACTATCAATACTACTATTACTACTACTACTACTACTACTACTACCACTACTACCACTACCACTACCACCACCACTACTACTACTACTACTGCTACTACTACTACTGTACTAATACTACTACTACTACTACTAAGCCTACTACTTTTTAAGTAAAATATCAGAAAATGGTTCACAGTCGCCAATAATTTCTTTGAATCCACATTATTAATATTATCTATTCATACAGTTATTTAGATGATTAACATAATAGTGCTAAAAGTGCAGTGACAACAAATTTAAATTTTATAACCTACATTGGGAATGATATCAAAGCGTGTAGGGCAGCGTGTAAGGCGTTGAACTTTCAGTCGGAATGTCAGGGGTTCGAGAACGATGCTGGTCACACTGCACGTGTCCTTTGGCAGGACACTTTATCTACATTTGCCTCTCTTCACCCAGGAGAATAAATGGGTACCTGGTAGGAGGTGAATGATTTCCAATGAAATTAGTAGTCGGGATTTCACGTATAACTAGGAATACTCCCAGGGGAATGGAGGAGGTTGCACTTTGTGTAGGCCTATGATTGATTCTGTATCCAATGACCAGGGAAAAAAGCGCCTTGTGTAGTTCTTGATATGTGCGCAATATAAATCCTATCAAATAATAATAAAAAATAATACATTAGGTTCATTATACGCTAATTGAAATCTCGCTTGTTACTTTTGTTTTGTTTAGGAACCAATAGCATTCGCTTCACTTCTAGTCAACCAGCGGTGTTTCCGATTACAATTCATTCAGAAAATATGTTCAGCTTCTCCACCATTATGGCGACCGTAATGTACACAGAGCGGATTATGGGTTTTAGGCTTGTAACCCAAGGCCCAATTAAATGGAACAGCAAAAGTATTCTTATTGCAGCAAAAATATTTTCAGGTGTCTACTCATCTTTCGAGTTGTTTTTAAACGAATTGAATTATACAACAAATACAGAAATAGTGCAGGCCGTAGATGAAGACATAATATTTTCCGTTTCGACGACTACTGAATTTTTTAATGAGTTGAGTCCGTTAAATATCACAATCCGATTAATTAATGCAATCAGCGAAGCTGAAGATTATATTATTCTTCTAGTACAATACGAAATACTTGATTTGCATATATTGTACTCGAGTGAGTACGTTGCAACTGGAAACACTTTCCAGATTGGTTTCGACATGTTAATTGGATCAAATCTTTTTTGTACAATAGACTTAAACGATAGTACGAATGTAGATTTTTATGAGTATATAATGCAACGAGACCAAAATAACATCTTACTTTCTCATGTCTATACAAGCCCGGGATTTTATGACGTCAGTGTTTACTGTTCAAATAACGTCAGCGAAATGATCGTCAACAAAACAATCATCGTCCAAAACAGAATCACAGATTATTTGAAATTAGAGTGTGCAAGTGTCGTTCCAATTAGCCAAAACCAAAATTACGGTTTCACTGTGATCTATTCGTTTCAAGGAAATTCTTCTGAAATTCCAACTGATGTATTTGCAAACTATGAAATATATGGTATATTGAAAGAAAACAGGGAAACTTACACGAGTGATGTTAAGTGTTGTAATTTTTCAGCACACAATCTAGTCGTCACAACATGGGATTCTTATGAAATTAACGTGTTACTTTATAACAGAATTAGCAGTGGTAACCGTCAATGTTATGTCAATTTAGAAGAGGTCATTACTGATCTTACTCTCAGTGTACATAATGTATTCGCCAAAGTCGATGAAGTAATTGAGATGAGCCTAACTGTCACGTGGGGCTCTCGAATGAGATACACTATTGACTTTGACGATGATTCTTCGGAAAGGTACAACACGAGTGAGTCGGTTTTTACGTTTGTTCATTCATTTGATAGCCCAGGAACATATTACGTTACTGTTAACGCAGAAAACTTTGTTGATCCATCGTCTTTAGTGTCTTTGGTAATTATTACTCAGCGTCCTGTTGGACGTTTTGAAGTAAATTCACGCTATTTAAACAAATTAGAATTGAACCGAGAGGGGGAACCATCTTACGTTGTTGTGCCAATCGATGTATATCGAGATTTGCAGTTTGAAGAAGCTACTGATGCCTATTTTACAATTGATTTTGGTGATGGAACCAGGTTTTGTCCGAGGGGAGCGATGTGCCTTATGGATGACGTAATCACTCTTGGATACATGGATTCAACTAAAGACACTAGCGAGTTGGAACATATCCTGGCGATCGAGCATAACTATACCATTGCCAAACATTACAATATCAAGTTTATGGTGTGGAATAATGTAAGCAGCGATACGGTAGAATACGGTATTGAGGTATTCGAAGAGATCCAGCAATTGGAAAAAGATATAAAATTTTTCGATATTGATCTAACTAGCATGTTGAATACTTCGGCTGAATATGATCTCTTTGGAAAGTATGCGCCTCTGGATATGGCCATAGTCGTGACCGCTGACATACTATATGGAACTGAAGTGCTATTTACCTGGAACTTCAATGATCCGACGAAACCAGTTAGTAATTACATCTTCACGACACGTGAACCAAAGGCATATTATAAGTATACTAATCCGGGGTCATATTTCATAAAAGTTAATGCTTCAAATCCGATAAGTAGCAGTACAGTAGCGCAGAACATTTTCGTTCAGGAAACTGTTAAAACTTTTCAGTTGAACGGCTTTGGACCAATTACAATGAACTCGACAGTTCCTTTTGTTCTAAACCTTGGAAAAGTAGCTACAGATGCTTGTTATCGTATTGATTTTAAATATGAATATTCAAATCCAGGACGAATACAATTTTATGGTTCTTGGTCTATGTGCCAATCAAAGTATACAGAAGAATTTCAAAATAATCCAATATTTAAACAAATCGACTCAAATACGCTTTGGATAGATGTGAATTATAAAGGTAGAAGTCCAAATATATCTATTTCGAATTTATTTTATGAGTATAACAAGTACGATATAGTTTACGAAGGTTTTAATATGGTATCGTACATAAACGGTACACTTCCACAGGTGATAACAAAGCTACCATGCTACTTCCCGAGGGTTAACGTGAAAAGCGAAAATGAATGCAATTATAATTTTCAATGTAATCCTGAAACGAATTATCGGCAATATCTGGCATCAACACAAGTCAAAATCCAATCACTCGTTGAGGTTAACTGTTCCTCAACTGATTTAACACGTTACCACTGGAAAGTATTCAAAATAGAAGGTGAAAGAGAAACACTTGTTACGCTCCCGCCTTCTGTTACTACAATTGGAAGTGGTCTGCGTACACTGGTTTTGGAACCACGATTGCTTGCTTATGGTTTATACAGAAGTGAGTTAAACGTCACAATGCTTGGTGGAGAAATAGGCCTTTATACTTCAGACTCAACACATACAGAAATAATTCCCACTCCTCTAATAGTTGAAATTGTAGGTGGAGAATATCGTACCATCAAATGGAAAACACTTATACAAGTCGATGGGCTTTCTTTAACGTTTGATCCTGACGTGGACAAAGCTGATAAATCTGGGATGGAATTCACTTGGATGTGCCGACGATCAAATTTTGAGGCCAATGGAACGGGTATTATAGATAACTTAGAAACTTTCGAGATATGGAATGACAATTTTACAAAACTACTAAAGGAATCGAAGATCAACGAAGAATTCGAATATTCACCTGAATGGCAACATGGAGATAAGGGAGGTTGCTTTGGTAGACTTGGGGGTACGATGATTCCTACTCCAGGAGGTAATGTATAATGAGTCTGCATACGATTTTTTTTTCTTCTTTCATCCAAAATAAAATTATGTTTTATTCGTAATTTTTTTATTTTTTGAGCCATGGAATTAAATAATATTAATAATGTGGCTATGTTGTTATTGTTATGAATTTGTTTTATAGCCGGTTTCAGCTAATAATTATATTATTCACCATTTGTTTCTATTATGTGATTTTTGAAATGCTATTTATTAGACAATTAAAACCCAGTCTGAATAAACAATGTGACTCTGTCAAAGCAAAGCTTTTTATTAACACAGGGATTAATATCCCACTGTTATGAACTTTGACATTGTAGATTAGCTTTTTTCTATTGATTATAGTTGCTGTATATTCTATACTTCATCATTTGATCTTGAAAATGACACCATGAAGGAGTCGAGATGTCGATCTTTTCTTTTTAGCGTTATTTTTATATTAAATGTGATTTTTAACAGTAGTTTTAACAGAAGCTATATTAAGTGCATACACTTTTTTTTAATAAGAAACAGTAAAATTTTGCCCAGGCTCAGTGTTCTTATATTTTGTTCTGAATTTGTTCTTATTTTACACAATTTTCAAACATAGAAAATTATTATTGTACAGCAAAAATGGGCCCTGAAAAATTTCCCCAGAAAAAAGGCCTGGTAAAAATGGTCCCAAATGACAGTGCACCTGATTATAGGGGGTATTACATAGTCACACCTACATTACTGCACATAAGGTACAGATATAATTTTTTGGTTTTTCAAAAACCTCATTTGACATTTTACCTCAGCCTCAATTTGTTCTTATTTTGTTCTTAATTTTAAAGTAATTTCATCCTCAGTGTTCTTATATATAAAATGTGTTCTTATAAAAAAAAGTGTATATGCTATGATGAATACATGTCTCCCTCCAAATTAAGATCATGGACACAGGGTGTCCATGGTATTTAGTTGCTTTGGTCTCTAATTAGAATAATAAAAATAAAAGACACACCACATAAAAGTGGTGTTTAATTTTAAGGGTCCTCAATTAGGGGCAGACCTATATACAGTGCTTGTAGAAGTGGTTGGCGCATCGGTTGTGGCTTGGACTCACAACTCTACGTATTCATTTTAATTATCATTTTATTACTAGTAGTTAGTAATATTATTTTTATTATTATTATTTTTGTTTTTATTATTATTATTATTATTATTATTATTATTATTATTATTATTATTATTTTTATTATTATTATTATTATTATTATTATTATTATGATTATTATTATTATACACATCTAGATGTGTATAAGAGACAGGTACAGTAGCGCAGAACATTTTCGTTCAGGAAACTGTTAAAACTTTTCAGTTGAACGGCTTTGGACCAATTACAATGAACTCGACAGTTCCTTTTGTTCTAAACCTTGGAAAAGTAGCTACAGATGCTTGTTATCGTATTGATTTTAAATATGAATATTCAAATCCAGGACGAATACAATTTTATGGTTCTTGGTCTATGTGCCAATCAAAGTATACAGAAGAATTTCAAAATAATCCAATATTTAAACAAATCGACTCAAATACGCTTTGGATAGATGTGAATTATAAAGGTAGAAGTCCAAATATATCTATTTCGAATTTATTTTATGAGTATAACAAGTACGATATAGTTTACGAAGGTTTTAATATGGTATCGTACATAAACGGTACACTTCCACAGGTGATAACAAAGCTACCATGCTACTTCCCGAGGGTTAACGTGAAAAGCGAAAATGAATGCAATTATAATTTTTAGTAGTGGTAGTGGTAGTGGTAGTGGTAGTAGTAGTAGTACCACCATTATTATCTACATATTCATTTTAACTATCATTTTATTACTAGTAGTTAGTTAGTAGTTAACTATCAATAAAATAATCGATTCATTCATTTTGCTTAAACTTACGGTACTGTTTGCAAATTGCAGGTATATTGAACTATACAACGGGCAATATAACAATCAATACAGACACAATGTACTGGAATATGGAATATGAGTTAAAGCTGATTGTTAGGAAAGGTAGTCGAAGAAGCGAATTTACTCAAACACTGTACATCGTAGAAGGGGATCCCCCGGATATACAAATGGCGTATGTTTAATTTTTCTTTCTATCAACCATAGATAGCTAGAAAATATTATAAGTCGTAGCCGGGAGATCGTAGTAAATAATATTCAAATCACCGTAAACACAATATAAAGAAATGGTTAAATAATAATAATGGTGCTCAAATAGGAGCATGTTGTAATAATTATATTAAGCATAGCTCGCCAATGAAAAGCTCATTTATGTCAGTTGTATAAAAAAGAGTGTCTGACGGGATTCAAACCGTCAACTTCTCACTGTCAAGGCGAGTATCATATCCATTAAAAAAATATGTTCCTATTTGAGCATCATTATTATTGGTTTTTTTTTTGTATATTTGTACATAGTGATATTATATAGTATATAATAGGCTTATAGACATTTATCAAGGCACAAAATCAATATATTTTTTTAAATATTGTAAGATATGGCATAACTTTATTAATATTGAGCAAATCATCTTTATGTTATCGAAAGGTGCAAGCTGAATTGCAGGACCAAGAAAACGCCAACAAATCGATTTTCTCTAGAAAATAAGGAGACGAATCCAGTTCCAGGAATTGTATTATTTTACATGTAGGTTTTTATTAATTCATATAAATGCAGGGCTAATTTGGGTCAAGGTCAAATGGTTAATATATACCACGATTTATAAATCTCGGCCAAACCTAAACAATTAAACAATTTTAATTGTGGTTGAACTAGGTAAACATTGGTGCCTTGTGAATTATGTGGAAATTTTTGTTTAAATGACATAGTCATGTTATTTATTCACGTTGACTTCCAGTAAGTTGTCTGCTTTTAATAAAATAATCTTTTGTCATTGGTTAGATTGGTTTCCGTTGTTTACCAATTGTTGGCGTAGATAAGGTTGTAATATCCAGATCGGGACCTAACCATTAAGTCCTAACATTTAGCACGCGTGTGAGAACGCCCGTTCGGTAGTGGATACGCTAGCGGTTAGCGAGTGCATGCTATCGGTTAGCAAGTTTTCTCATTTTTACCATTAAGCAACCAGACATACGCATATCCTTATTTACAAGTTCCTGGCCAGTGATCCCAGAGTCATCTTCTTGTATGAACACAACCGTGAGCGCATAATGTTATTAATCTGGATCAGTGATGGAGCCAGGACCTGCCCGACGGAGGGGCTGAAGGCCCCGATGGTGGGGGGGGGCTAGTAGAGCGAATCGAGTCTCACTTGGCTGGGGGCCAGGGGGGCCACCTAGGGCCCCCGATGGGGAAGCGAAGCCCCCTGGAAGCCACGGATATTTGACGAATTATGGCAAATTTTTATTACTTATTTGATAGGCATCGAGCTACTATAATATGACTTCATGTAGGCTATGATTTCTAATGTCGAAATCAGCTTCCAAAACCAAAATATTTTGAATAAAACAAGAAACAAAGAGTATGCAATGTAACCATCTAATTTATTTTCAAATCCCCATTCTTGAAAGTGAAATTCTACATTTTGGAAATTTTGCATTTGTCGACGCTGTCAAGGCCCAGGTTGCTTCCCCTATCACGATATATTCAAAGCATCATGACGCTATCCAAACGAGCATTTGTCATAACAGAACGCAAATTATTTTTAATTAGACTCGTTGAACTATTATTATTATTATTATTAATTATTATAATTATGCTAATAATAATTATTATTATTATTGTGATGAAAAGTTAAAAATAGTTTAATAAAAGTAAATAATTTTTTTTATTTGTTTATTCCCCGACAAAATGTGCTCGTCCTCCCCGACGGGGGTGGGGAACATCCCCAGCACCCCCTGGCGCCACCCCTGATCTGGATCCTGCGAACCGTTAGATAGTGTGTGTGAGCATAGCCTAATAGTTCTATATAAACTATTAGGCTAATAATCCACAATTTCTAGGATTCGAACGCCTGTGAATTCGATTGTAATTGAAATTAGTGTTTGAGTCTAAATGTGATTCCAATTTGGAATGATTTTAATAAGTGTTGTTGAGATTATATTTTTAATGGAATTGTGTTTGAGTGAATCTTGCTTGCCGGGTTGTTTATCTTTACCCAGGATTAAATGGGTAATACCGCCAAATGCTGGAAAGATACGACTTAAACCGGTCATTTACTGCTGTGCATGGCGGTCGTCGGCAGTTGCGTTTCCATAGAGAACGCAATGCCACGACTCGCGCGCAACGGATCGTTTTTAATAACGATCCGTTCAAACTGCTACCGACAGCAGACGGAGTCGCGTCGTCTAACGCTCACAGGGAGCGGAGTTAGATTCGTCAGCCGACAGTTGTACATACGATGCAGTGGGTGCCCGTTGTACTGTGCGGGAGGTTTGGCGAATCTCCATTGCAATGTCTGAACTGAGTACAAACGAATTAGAGATTTAAACTCCAGTTTGTGAGTTCAGAACTCTCAAGTTGACTACATTTTACCAGAGAATATATACGTATATAGTTGTCTAAGATTTTACTGTCCATCAGTAATAATAATAAATAAAATAAAACAGCTCTATTGGTTTTACAATTTCGAATGTCTATTTCATTTAGTTGGGAGATATATCAAGAAGTCGATGAAGTGTTTGAGATGCTAGATGGAAATGAAGTGCAAAAATATTCAGGAACAGGTACAAATGTTTCCAATTTATCCATCGAGCCAGGTTTGTTTGAGGAGAAGAAAAGATACCGTGTCATGTGTATGGCTTCAAGAAACCACAATTTTGTAAATTATGGTAAATAGATCTCTTCGTTCTCCTTTTCTTGTTTATTTTCTTCACCATCACTATCATCATCATCAACATAATAATAATAATAATAATAATAATAATAATAATAATAATAATAATAGTAATAATGATAGTAATAATAATAATAATAATCATAATAATTATAATTTAGATTTATATAGCACCTTACACTAATAAAAGCCCCAAAGCGCGTAACAATGATTATATGTAGGCTATTTATTTATTTTGATTTAATTAATTTACCTTCTTACTATATTTTTTCATATATTTCTAACAATACCACCAACAGAAGGAAACAATCAAAGCAGTGGTCAGCTAACCAGATAGGCGAGCATTTAAGGGCAAATTCTCAGCGGGTTACATATATCACATGCACCATACCTACCAGAAAACGAACTAAAAGTATTGCTCTTCGAGAAACAAAACAGCCAATCTTCATTCTTCTTTTTCCTCCTTTTGTTCATTTTCTTCTTTCTGTCAGTTTTCTAGTTCGTCTTCATATTCTACTTCTTCCATTTTTTCACTTTCTATTTAAAGCCTTCTATTGAAGGCATATTTATCGGAAATACGTTAAGTATATTGGATTTTCTTCACGTCAAAAACAACACTCACTCGTGTGAGCAACTGCATTGATATGAGGCTCATGTACAAATACTACGAGGCGATAATATACTGTTTATTTATTTATTTATTTCTTCTATACTCTGTATACCATCATGCATTATTTTTATTTTGAACCCATGAAAGTTGTGGCCATTTCTGTCTATTTCTCTATGCTCCAAATAATACATTTCTCACCATTCCCAATCATCATTAGGTGATTTTTTTTTTATGAATAACTTTCCTTAACAACTTTTTAAATTTTCAATCATATATCGATTTTTTTTAAATATAGGAGTTTCACAGCTTACATTTTATATAAACGACATCCCATTAAAAGGAATATGCAGTATTAGCCCTGTACACGGTGTGGCTACTTCGACAGAATTTCGTGTCCAGTGTGAAGGGTTCCGCGATGATGATCTTCCCCTTTTATACAAATACTCGTACAGTATTGACAATGGAACAAACTGGTTTACGTTCTTTAATGGTAATTTATTTTGTATTATGTTTATTATATTATGTTATTAAGTTGGGAGTTTACGTCAGGAAAATATCATACAAGTGATGTTTTGCCCTACCTGCAGTGTCGTACCGAATACTTAGTTACCTGGAGGTCGTGGGTTCGATTTCCACTCGAGTCACTTTTAAATTGTTTTCGCCAGTATGTGGGGACGTACTCGGTATTACGTCAGGGCAAAACATCACTCCTATGATTCCTGACCCAAACTCACATCATAAGAGCATTTGCAGTACCCCCTGCCACTTGGGGATCGGATTCACCACTATCCACCAAGCACAACCCCAGTGGTCCAGTTGTTAAGACTAGTTACCTGGAGGTCGTGGTTTGATTCCCACCCGAATCACTTGCAAATTTGGTTTGGTAGTATTTGGGGACGTACTGAGTATTCGGTACGATAACACGTCATGCATAGCAATACATCACTCCTATATTATTATTATGGTTATCAACCATAATAATAATATAGTAACAAAGGGCGGATGAAATGTTCTGAGTCAACGGCCAACCATAACTTAGTTTAAGGAACAGGAATGTTATTTAGCCACACATGTTTGTTTAAATATTTGTTTGACCTTTATTATTATTATTATTATTATTATTATTATTATTATTATTATTATTATTACACAGTTATTATTTTTATTATCTTGCTCATTATATCTACGTATGCTCTTACAGAGGAGTACGCAAACATGACTAAAGGTGTGAAGATTCCAGCTGGACCAGAAGAATATGACTACATGGTTGCGGTACGCGTGCGCGTAACTGATAGTTACGGGTCATTTGTTGAAACCAAATTAAATACGACTGTAAGTAAATGCAAAGTTATGTACAAAACTATAGGATTATAGTATGCCAAATCTAAGTCCCACGACAGAGCTACACATAACGTAGATGGTGGTTGAGCTAAGGCACACATAACAAAGGCTGGTATCTAGAAGATAAGTTCGAAAAATGTTAATTATTACACACTACGGTATATTAAATTGAGGTAAAGGTAAAGATAGAATAAGATGGATAGATAGAAAAGATGTCGAATGAAGATGTTTTATACAACGAAAAGAGAACTATTGAATACAATCAGGAAAAGGCAATGGAATTTCATTGGGCATGAGTTGAGAAGAGAAGGAGGGATTGAAAGAAAGTTCATTGAGGCTGAAATGACAGGGAAAAGAGCGAGAGGAAGACAAAGATTAAAGATGTTAGATTGGATGATGAAGAGGTTGGGAGTTAGAGATGAAAAACAGCTAGGCGAGATCGCAAACGACAAGAGAAAATGGAAGCAGAACGCACCACCATGATCCGTCCACGGCATTTGATGCCATGACACTAGAAGAAGAAAGGTAAAGGTAGGGAAATGTTCCACGGGGTCTACTATAGCAACCGTTAGGAGTCACATTAGTAGCTTGTATACTCACATATTTCCACGACAGAGGCTGAATGAGTCATAACATAGGAATGCTACCTTCCGAAAGATGTGATGTGCTCACTGGACCTTCCGTTTTAAGTCATTATGAGAGGAATTGCTTCTACCAATCGAAACCTAAGCGAAAATTGGCTCGAACCAGCGCCAATGGTAAGGCTATAGTTCAATCAATCAAACACTCGATTCGCCCAAGTCGCTTTTTTAAGGGAAAAAAGAAGAACGAAGCTCGCTGTGCAACCACAGTACGCATGTGTCACAGTATCTTAGCTGGATTTGCTCTATATTATGTTCTCACACTCTATTCACTATATTTGCCAGAACTGAATTGAACGTTTTCGAGAGCCGGCCAATTATCACTGGATAGCATCCCTTCCCTTGTTACATTCAAAATGTTCTTATCCAACAATTAGTGGCTTCCTCGATAGAGAACCTAGTCTATTTGCAAACGCTTTCTCTTCGGCTTCACTAACAGTTGGCTTCGGCGCAGTACTAAACAATATTTTGATGCATACACGGCGAAGCTCAAATTTGTCCATCACGCACGTCATCAACCCATGAATCTTTCATGGGTTGATTAAACTATAATGTACGAACACAATATCATATTGAAATGGAAACGAAATGCTGATGATTAAGCCAAGGCTAAGTATTAAAGTATCATTTCTATATTAAACATAGAATAATGAACAGAGATTGAGTATCTCTGATGTCCACCAGTGAAAAGTTGTGAGTCTTCGGACGTTGATGGCGCTGTTTCAAAATAATGTTTACTAAAGTTGGTCTAAAGTACGTTTCTTTAGGAATGTTTTAAGCATAGGTGCATCTCGGTTATCATTGTACAGATATAATGAAACATTTACCGAAAGATATTATATTTAATAGCTTTTTTCTAGAGAATTTCTACCAACTTTTTCTTTAATAATTATTCTATGTTCTTTCTTTATTCTTTCTGCTTATATTAGATAAATTGATTGGCCAATAAAAACAAGATTATACTATAATTTATAAAGCTAATTTGGCAATCGCGTGAACAACATGGCAGTATTTGGCTTTTCCTGCGCTAGCATTGTTTTATTTTTGTTTTTATGTACTTTTTAATTTATACTTCTTTAAATGATCTTTTTTTAATTGTAACTTCAATATCACTTTTCATTATGGCAATGAGTAAAAGCTTTATCGTCTGTTTTAAAAACAGACATACTAAGTCTATATGTTTATTGATTTTGCTGTACAAAGATGCAGAAATGCCTGAATTTTTTTAAATTTTTTAAATTTAATTATGAGAAATATACCATATATTCTTTGTTTGTGTAGGTTTATCCACTTAATTGTTCTGAAGAAATTATATTGGCAGAGGTTGATGGATTAGGGGATCGTATAAGAGTGTTGGCAGGGGCAGGGCAGACGTTGGAAGTGTCGAACATCGTGTCCTCTACTTCAAGTTTTCTGAACTACTGCAGTAAACTTTATGCAGGTACATAATTATTAATTACAATTATCATTATTATCATGTTATCATCAGCAGAATTGTCATCATCATCATCCGTCATTTGTAGTGGGGTTGAATAGCTTGGTGGTGAAGATGCTTCCAATCCCAGGGTCGTGGGTTCAACTCATGCCAGGGTAACAGGATTTTTTTCAAAAGTTTAATAGTGTCTAAAAAGCTGAATAGAATAGAATCAGCATCATCATTATCTTCATCAGCGTCATCATCATATAAATAACAGTCATTATTATTACTAATATTATTATAATTAATGTTAATGTTATTATTATTATTATTATTAATATCAGTCGCTTTGTTTTTAAATTATCACTGTGACGACTTGCATCTTAATAATATCCTCTCAAAGTGTATGTTGTTATTTTTTAATTTCTTAAACACAGGTGTGTATCCTGTGATTAGTTTTAACACAATAAAGATACATATTTAGCTATTACATTTCCCCGGATTTAAAATTTATAGATTTCCTTGTCTTAAGGCTTCGTTCGTGTGAATCCAGTCACAGGAGCTACACTGGTGTTAAAAAAGTAGAAGCTTATTGTAGCTTCCTTGAGCGAATAATCGCGTATAATGAATTCTAAATTCTAGTTTTTGTCATCGGTTGACTGGAACAGTCATAGCAGGGCCACCAGCGAGCAGGTTAACAACATGACCCAATCTTAGCGCTAAATACAATGATGTTTTCTTCTTTCCACAGGACAAGCATCAACAGCACCAAATATTTCTGCAATACAGATGGATATCCGAGAAGAAATGATTTTAACTCTTGGCACATTACAGCAGGCCTATAACGTGGAAGTGCTAAGCCTAATGGCGTCTGCACTTCAACTTGCTACAACGTGGCCCAACGAATTAACAGAGCGTGCACGAGTATGTACACACTATGGTTATTTTATAATTCTAGTATAAATGTTGTATATTTTTTGTTAATGGTAAGAGTGACCCTGTTAAAGTAACTTAATAAATTGTTAAAGTAACTTAATAAAAATTAGTGTATATAAAGATTTTTTACCCATAACTTCACAGCGAAAAATAATAGAACACTTATCATTAAAACGCCAGGAATTTTCTGTTACAATACCTCCTCTTGTTTTTCTAGAATGAAAGTATACATATAGCGTCAACGTTTGCAACTACACTACAGAAGGTTGAAAGTCCTTTGGCGGAAGATATTGAGGATTCAGCGAGACTCGTGTTTAGTTCTCTCGGTATGCGTATGAGTATAGACTTGCAAAATTTTGTATGCAAACAATAAAAAGAAAAACGTACTATCACGAGATAGAGGACGCTTTATTAGAGTTCGAAGCTATCCTTTTGAAGAACGCCCTCTAGTTAGTGGTACCTGTAGTACATTTTGAAATAGGATTACGTTCCAACAAAACCCCCAGAGTGGGACTTCTTGCAGCTATACTCTTTGAAGATCGGTATAATTTCCGCCTTTTATATTTCACTATTTTTATTTATCGTGTAAATGTCATAGAGGGCATGAGGATTCTTTATCCAACACAATTCCTTTACATAAATATAGTATAGTCCTGTAAAGCCGTAATGCAATAATGACATATTGTTTATTATTGTAGATTTTCAGTATTATACTACAGCCGCTCCAAGTTTCTTTCCTATTCTTCCTTATCCTTTATTTTTTTATATTTTGTGTTATATCTTTATTCATAATTAACATATTATCTACGCATAGGCCTACATTCATTAAGCTTGTATATATTGTGTCTATAGTTAACGCATTTCAATCGTTGTTCTATTTAAAGTATGCAACATATCCTGTCTCTCTAGAGTCATTCTTAGATAGGCTTATCTTCATAAGACTTCTACGAATGAATACGTTGTTGGAAGAAACAAATCAAATCTTTAACCAGTACCGTTCGTTTATTTAATCGGCAGGAAATTGTCTCTGTACCTTTAGTTAATTTTAATGTGTATGCAGATAATCATTAACTGATAAAACATTGGGGAAAGGGATTACTGTGGATTTGGTTCAAACTCTCTTTCCTTCTATTACTAATACTTCAAACCAACTTTGGGGCGATGTCCATAGATTAATAAGTATAAAAGAATGACTATACTCGCCTCCCTAGCTTTCTTCATTTTGCATATGTTCAGTAAATATCAAACCTCACCACACGACACTTTCTTTATCATTTTATGTATGTATTATTATATTCTACAGGTGCACCAACTAAACCTGCAGCTGAATATGAGGTAAGTGTGTGTATATTATTTGGGTTTCCCATTTACGGATATTTCTTTGTAAGATATTTCTTGGTAGAGGTGATTTAACTTGGAAAACTGTTTTGCAGAATATATAGGTTATATGGCCTTTAACATTTATTTAAAAATGGATTTTGCGCCGCCGTATTTATAATACACTTATTTGTCTTCATTTTATCATTACTATTAATTTTATCTTTATTATTATTAACAATAATTGTTTTTCATCGCCCTCATCATTGTCATTATCTTCAAATGCTGAGCGGTAGCAAGATGGATAAGTTGCTTGCCTTCCAATCCATGTGATCTGGGTTCATATCCTGTCATTGCAAGAATTTGTTTAATCCGCTACGAAACCACAGCGCCAATCACTAAGCCTTAGAGAAACTGTTTTTAAAGATTCATTTCATTTTGCTGTTGGAAATATCTTTTAAGAAGATCACAATATGCAGTCTTTTAACGCCAACTTAATGTCAATGGCTGCCGAATATCTGAAATCAGACGGCTTCAAATACCAGTACCAGTACCAGTACTATCGTCATTTTGTTTCTGATTTTAGCAGAGTAGGAAAAGATAGTTTATATCACATACCGTATTTATTCGAGGGAGGCGTTTAATTTTTTTTGCGTGTAAGTAATGGATACGTATATACTCAAACAAACATGTTATTGTAAATGTAACTACAGTACAACACATAATAACAGTACCGTCAAAATGTGTCATTGCGTGATCATGAAGACTTAATGATTTCAACCGGGTTAGAAAAAAATGTAATTCTACTGAAGTAGAACATTATTAGAATATGTTGAGAATTCATTTAGAGAGTGAGACACTCTAAATGAACAGCAATGATTTTTCAGAATGTTTTTATTTGGTTGTTTGAAAATAACCCAAATTTCAGCAGCGTACACTGCTTATTTGTTCAGTTATCTTTCTTCTGTAGTCTTCAGCAACGCAGGGGTTAGATGTCATCACATCTGTCATAGATACCATGGCCAGTACTATGGTAACGGGTCAGAAAAATATCAAAGTTGACGCCGATTCCATGTCTGTTACTGTTTCCATGTCATTTACTAATGGTCGACAAAATGGTAATAATATGCTCTTAAATTTTGTACGATTTGGGGTTTTTGTTTTAATCACTGCACTATTAAATGGATACACCTTTTAGACAAAAATATTTTGCCATAAAAATACAAAGCTTTAGGAGCGAATATTGATATTTAAAAAAAGTTAACGCTCCACTATAAAAAGTTAACGCTCCACTAAAGCCGTTATGTGTGAATTATACGGTGTATAATATTGTATAAAAGAATGTTATACAATAATATTGTACAAAAGTTGCTTTTATGTTTTTATTACGATGTATTTTTGCACCTACTATAATTTCTTTTTGGAAAAACAAAGAATCAAGAATTTAATCAACTCTAGTAAACTTCATTTAGGCTGAAGATGTCTGTAGACAATATAATTATGCACAATATCCCTTACAAAAACCTATTTTGCATTAAAACATATGAAGAACTACAACCATTAAAAAAAATATATAACTCCAATGTTATGCTTGAATTGCATGGCGTATAATATTAATAAACCTTATTAAAGATGAAGATGTCAGGCTCAGTAGACAATAACTATGCAACGCCTGTCTTACACAAAAACTATTTTTTCATTTAAAAAAACAAAACACTTCACTATAGCCTCTGGAATACTAAATTGTATGGTATACTATACGGTACGTCTCGTTGCATCTAGATGTGTATAAGAGACAGAACTAAACCTGCAGCTGAATATGAGGTAAGTGTGTGTATATTATTTGGGTTTCCCATTTACGGATATTTCTTTGTAAGATATTTCTTGGTAGAGGTGATTTAACTTGGAAAACTGTTTTGCAGAATATATAGGTTATATGGCCTTTAACATTTATAACCGAATTAGAAACGAGGGTATGTATTCATTTTTGTGTTGGTTGTTGTTGTTGTTGTTGTTGTAAAATCCAGATTTATATAGCGCCTACACACCGTCCTACCAGGTACCCATTTATACTCCTGGGTGGTGAAGGGCACACGTAAGTAAAGTGTCTTCTTGCTGAAGGACACAAGCAAATGTACTGGACGTCGGTCTCAAACTCCCGATCTCACGAACACAAGTCCAACAACTTCCACTGTTCTGGTATTGGTAGTTGTCTACTGGCCAACTCAGTGTTTTATGATTTTTAATCTAAAAAATATTGTAGACATCACATTGGAAAAATGTCAGAGTGTATACACAAAAAGAAATACTATGTTTGCGCACATGTGTTGACTATATTTTGTGGGCTAGATAAAATAATAAATAAAATATTAATAAGGTCATTAAAATAAAGACAATTAGACTAATACTTCACAAGCTTTTTGGGTTTTAAATGAAAGGTGCCTATTCAAAGCTTGTGCACGCTCTGTTCACATTTAAAATCGATTACTGTAACGGAATGTTGTGCCGATTACCTAATTCATTCATCAGAAATATACAACTGCAATTAAATACTGCTGCCCATCTTATCAAATAGATACACAGTCACCCCTACTCTGAAGGCATTTCACTGGCTACCAGTACTACAGTGTACTACATTTAAGATCCTAGGCCGCACCTAAAAATGCCTTCATAACTTATTAACTACCTAATTGATGTCATCCGCCTCCGCTCTGCAACTTGCACTAAAAGTGTCTGTTCTACAGTCAATCTAACTTAACCATCCCAACATTTCGTTTCAAATTTGGGAGGTTTTAGTCAGGTTGCAGCTCCTAAGCTATGGAAAGTGGTCCCGGTTGTTATTCAAGAGTCACCCTCCCTCTCTGCATTGAAACAGACTCAAGACCCATCTTCACATATTCACGTTACCTATTTTCGTATATTTTTTAATAGGTTATTGTTCAGAATAATGATCCGTTTAATCATGAAGATGATACAAACTCTCTAAGAGGCTCCGTTATTTCAATTAGCATGACAAATGACACAGGACAACCAGTATACTATGACGGTGAAATGCAGAATCCAATAGAGTTTAATATATACAGAGGAGAGGAGCAGTTTGAAGCCACTTCAGAAAACGGCACAAACGAGATCCGATTAATGTATAACGAAACAGCGATTAGTGGTCTTCCATCGGTAGACGTCGTTCTTACAGGTAATGCGTAAAGTTTCTTATGTACTGTCTTTATATTGTTGACTATAGAGTTAACAGTTAGCATGTTCAGACAACAACCCTCAGATCCGGAAGAAATCCTTTTTAATGAGAGATTAATTTGATTTACTTTTGATAATTTTATCATTAAACAGTTATCGACCAGATATATATATATATGTATATTTACAAATTTAAATGTTCAAGTCAATCATTTGAAAAAAGGTTTACAATATTCAAAAATGTGTTATTGTACAGTATTTCAATGAACTAAAGAATACATTACTGTAATGCAATAAATCACAATACGTACTCGAACAAAAACAGGACGCCACTCACTCTAAGTTTTCTTCAATACATACGTCACCAGAATATTTCTATATATAATAGTGAACTTTGGATCATAATGAAATTGATTTATTTCACAAAAAAAGTCTTCAAAACATTTTAGGCATCATATAGGCCTAAATGACAACCTTTCAACACGCACAAATAAAGCCTGAACTAGAGTAATAAAAACGTCGGACCTGATGTTGACATCTACTTCGTCTAGACCCCAATATTCCAGGGTAAAGAGCTCTATCCGAATTATGTATAAAGTCAAACGACTAAGAAGGCGACAAAAACTACATGGACAAATACAGTTGAAAGGCAAAGAAAGAAAAAATAGGTCTATGCACATACTGGCTAACTATTGCTCTGATTAGAGGAATCCTGTTTAATGCACTTTAATGAAGTTTAGCGTTCCTGATGATGATTATTATTAAAGTATCGTATTTTTGACTATTTATACTACAGATGTTCAAATGCATACTGCCATTACTGTTGAGGTGATATCATTTGGTGAAGAAAATATGAATTTTGGAGAAACATACAACTATACAATTGCTGTCTACCTTAAAGTAAATGACTCTTCAACAGGAGGCACGTTAATTATGACTTTTGATTTACTTTTATATGCATCTGTGTTATCTGGCCTGATATGTGTGCTTCTTGTGTGATAAGTGGTGATGTATAAAGTATGTACTGTATATGTCTTTATGTTTGTAATTGTGAGTACGGTACTGCATGTGACTATAGGTATACAGTTGTGTATGGATATATATGTACTTATGTACTGTATGTGTATTTCATGTACGTTTGTATGGTGTTTGTATAATTGTTCATGTGATTGTTTGCATCACTTTATTTTGCCTTAAGTTTTTTTAGTTTAAGATTGCTTTTAATTTTATATGGCTGAACAGTTTCTTTTTTACTTTTCCTCAATGTCCCTTTTGAAAATTTGAATTGTCTTTTTCTTAGCATAAGTCTTTTTTGTGAACTTTACTGTACATATTGTTTTGGACGCACCTTCGATTGAGATGTGTGCCACTGATTGAAAAGTGTAGTTCCTAATAAATTATTATTATTATTACTAGGTCTTCGGGGGACCCACAGCGGTCATAACAAGGCATCTGCACCAATTATGTCTCTTGTCTCACCTAACATTTATGCGAGGATTATTCGAGGAGCCGTGCGAACGACTCCAAGTAAAATCCAAATTAGGCCTGATTTGAACCGGGATCTTTAACAGAAGAAACCCTCAGCTCTAATGAGGCCTATTAGGGTGCTTATCAGTAGAAATGGTGCTGTAACAGTAACTTCCTGGTTTAGTGCTACCACTGTTGTTAAGGTGTTAAGGAAGAAGAACTTGAGCTCTCACAAAAATTGTCAAAGGCCTATATATGCTCCAGAGAATTCCAAAGCGTTACACGTCAAAATTTCCCGACTTTGCTCCATCAACTTTCATCTGGGCGGGACAAGTTGCCGGTCGGTTAGCAGAGACGGCGCTAACAAGGCCTACAGCCTTAAACATCGGCTGTAGTTGAGTCGCTTCCGTCGCCCAGGTTTCGATTAGTAGAACCAAATCTTCAGAGATAAGGACATGGAGGTCCATTGTACACACCTGAATTGATTGCAAATATGTACACATGAAAATTATGTCATACATTGCAATTTTTATAACATATTTAAAGATATTCTTCTTTACATTGTGTGACTATTTCTTTTTCAGATGACTCCGATGCCAACTGTACACTTGAACAATATCTGTATACCGTTGACTCTTTGGATTATGATATTGAAGAGAACCAAACTCCGTGGAATGATTCAGTTTTCATTCGAAAGGGAAATACGCTCTGCTTCTTCCCAAATGCTATTATGAACAAGTCTGTATTA